GTGGCTACTAGTCAAGGGGCCTACATAGTTATCTACAGGGTGTCAGAGGCAGTATGCCACTGTATATAACAGCTAACACGAAGCAAGAGTGGAATAGCGCTGTTGCACTCATGGCCTCCTTCCCGCTGGCACGTGGCTGACCACTGTGTGGCCAGAATGATGGGCTAGAAACAGTTTGGCTTGATCTGGCCTAGCAGTTGGTAGATACTCTTGCTCACCCAATCCAGTCAGCAAACTCCAGGGTGTTGGGGACCGTGGCACTGAGCAGGATGATGTTAACGTGGTCTGGCAACATGATGAGGACTTCCTCCCAGACCACACCACGCTGCAAGACAGGACATAGTGACAAAATGGAAGGCGGTGATTAGATGAGAGAACTCCCCGCAAGGTACTCCTGCAACCCACCCCGTGAATGTTTCTAATTCCCAGAAACTTCCTAGCCCTTTTATGGCAGGTTTCTATGCCAGACGGAAGATTCTGGGAGTTGTAGTCTTTTTTTTCTAAACAAACTTTCCTAAGCTCTGTCAATACCCTGTTTCCCCGAAAATAACACCTAACCTGAAAATAAGCCCTAGTAGGATTTCTCAGGATGCTTGTAATATAAGCCCTACCCCCAAAATAAGCCCCAGTTGAGTAAAAGCCCACCCTCCACCATTGTGCAGCAACCAGAAAAAGATGACAGGATTAAAATAAAACATCCCCTGTAAATAAGCCCTAATGTGTTTTTGGAGCAAAAATTAATATAAGACCTTGTCTTATTTTCGGGGAAACACGGTACTAGGGCACACCCACCCAGCTTTCTCAGTATCCCTCCCTTCTTTCGCCATCTTCTGTCCACAGCTGTCCTCTCACCTCAGAGTCATTAATGTAATGGACCTCATCAAAGATTACCCACTCCAAGTCTCTGAGAACATCCGAGCCATTATAGAGCATTGACCTGTTTTTTAAATAAAGGAAAAATAATCAAAAGAGAGACATCACAAAACAAGGCTCTTATTGTTTAATACTCAATGGGCAGAGGTAACTTAAGAAGGGCTTGGATGATGTGTTGCTGCAGCCACAGCTTGGAAACATCACTCTTTTTGACTACAAATCCTAGAATCCCCAGGCAGTATGATAAATGTGTGTGCATTTGTGAGTTGTCGTATGTAAGACCAACGTTTCCAAGCCCCAGCTACCTTGAAACAAGACTCCAGCCTCTGCTTCTTAAAATTCAACGTCTCCACAACCTAAAACTGATCTTTATAGTAACCATGAGAACTAGAAACTTGCTTTCTTTAAAAGGTCCAGCTGAAGCTGCCAGGCTGCCAAGAGGGTAGAGAGCACTCAGCATATGAGATGTTCAGGGAAACGGTAATGCCAGATTAAAACAAGGGAAGGATTCAGATATCTGGCCCAACCCCACCCTGGTCACCCGAGACCCTGACCTTCTCCCAGTTCTTACCGGAGGATCTCCGTCGTCATGATGAGACACGAGGCATCTGGATGAAGCTGAACATCCCCGGTCAACAACCCCACGTCCCCAAAGGTGTTTTTGAAATCCCGGAATTTCTGGTTGGAAAGAGCTTTGATGGGGGAAGTATATATGGTGCTGAAAGAGGAGACAGGAAGGGATGGGGAAAGTCAGAAATCCAGGGAGACGAGGAAGATTTCCAAGGACAATTTTCATCTCCAGAAAGACATGCCAATGTGGAACAATAAATAGACTGCCCAAGCTATTAGATATAAATGTGCTGAAAAGAGGCACAGAGAGACAAAGGGTGGAAGATCCTGGTTTTCCAGAGGTTTGAATTACATTTCCCACAAGGCTTTGCTATTGCCCCCATGCTGGCTGGGAGTTGAAGTCTGAAACACTGGGAGGCCCAAAGGTTTCTGCAACCTTCTTTCACATCGGTCACTGTCATCAGCCCCCGACCAGGAAACGTGGACGTTTCAGATCCTTCAGGGCCACGGTACCCATCGCCTTCAATCCTCGCCTTCTTAATCGGGGCTGATGGGAGTTGGAATCCAACAACTCCCACACAATGAGCGCCACACCTCTCCATAGACCTAGGGACCCCCAACAGGGACATGCCTTTTGCTGCAGCATCCTGTGGGAGAGCGTTTCCATCCTCAAAAGACGGAAGCGACATTTTTCTACTTCTGCTTGTCAAAAAGAACACAAAGCAGGGCACAAATCCCAACATTTCTAGTTTACACCACCCTCCGGCGTCTTTAGACGGGGCAGGGCACAGAGAGAGACCGTACAAAGGAGACCCCCCCAAAGCAGGCGGCTCTCACCGTGTCATGTGCTTCTGAGAGAGCGCGATGGCGTACTCGGCCACCACTGTCTTCCCGGCCGAGGTGTGGGCGGCGACAAAGACAGAATCGTGCTTCTCCAAGTGGAGAATGGCCTGTTTCTGGAAAACGTCAGGCTCAAAGGGCCACTGG